CCCCCGGCAAGCACTTCCTCGCTCTGCAGCACCATTTCCTGCCGTGCTGTGCTGCCGTGTCACCTCGCTGGCTGCGACCACTGACTTCCTGCTTCCCACGCAGCAGCCCCTGCCTGAGCCTGACAGGAAGGTGCAAAATGCAGCTGCACCCCCATTGCTGGAAAATGCTCCCCGCCCATTCTGTTTCAGTGCCCCATGGGCAGGAAGTCAGGGCACCTTTGCCAAGTCCTGAGGTGCTTGATTACCCTGGCCCCAAAGGGTACCATGTTGGTGACAGAGACACCAGCTCTTGCCTCATGGCGTGTGGAAGAAAAGAACCACTGGGACAGGTGGGACAGAAGAGGGGTGAGGGGAGGAAGGAGACAAATTTAGTCTCCACCTGCAAGCTAAGTGGAAGGGGATGCTAGGAGTCTCTTGTCCACAGGAAGGGCCCACATAGCAGGGCCTCTGGTCTGCCAGCACTGCAGAGGAATCTACCAGATGGCTCCTACTATGCCCCTCTCCATTAACTAGCCCATGGGGGTGGCAGCCCCAGCTCTGGTGGTGCTGTTGGGGAGGGCTGTTCCTAGCCTGTTCCAAGCACCAGCTGGGCAGTCTGGCCCTTGCCATTTCCCTGTCCTACCACTTTCAGGGTTTGCCATGCCAGGAGTCACACAGGCCCGACTGTCCAGTGCCAAGCAGGCTGCCCCGGACAGGACAACGGGTGCTGTTATCAGGAGCAACAGCAAGGCATGCAGAACTCTCACCCCAGGTCCCCCGTGTCCACTGCCTAGAAGAAAAACTCTTGACCAGAGGTGTTTATAATAAAGACCTTTTATTTGGAGTGAAAATATAGATCTCGACCCTGAACAGGCTGTGTATTTTCTCTCCTCCTGTGGGAGCTTGCTCCACCATTAGGGAAGAGGGGGAATGGTCCCTGACAAGCCTGGCCCCTTGCATGGACAAACAACTGGACAGACAGACAGACAAAACATAGAATCTGGGCCAGGGACTGGTAGCTCCCTGGTCCTGGACCCTGGTCTAATCACTTTGCCCCCTCCTCACAACTCCACTACCTGGTCCCGGCAGCCACACAAGGCTGCCATCATGCCCAGTGCTGTGCCCCCACCCTCCTCAAGAGGATGTTGGATGTTACCAGAAGGGGGTTCAATGCAACACATGGGGAGGGGGCTGAGTGAGCAGGACCCACAGGCCTGCCCCCCATGGGGGCTAGGGCTGCTCCTTTACACAGGAAGGGGCTGCCAGGTCGACCAGTGAATTTCTGCCCTGCCCAGTCCTGGGGCAGAGGTGTGCACTGCAGGTAGGAGAGGGGTTAAGAGAGCAGAGGCTCCTTCCCAGGGTAATGGCTCAGGGTAGAGGGCACATGGGCAGAGACGGGACTAACCCGCAACCCCAGCTCAGAGACAGACAAGGCCAGGAGGTCACCACACCGGCTAAGGACGCATGTGAGAGCTAAGTACCTACGGACAGAGCCAGCCCCACCCGCTCAGAGAGGAGCTGCCAGGAGGGGGTGGCACTGAGTAAGGCAGTGGGGATTTGGGGGTAGGAAGCAGGGGTGGGGTCTGCATGACCCACTTCTTTAAGGGGTGGAGGATTTTGGTCAGCCATACAAAAAAAGGAAGGAAGAGGCTCCCCCAGCCCCAATGGGATTGGGGGTGGAGGAAGGTGGCCGGGAGCAGAGCCCGGGGTCCCCTCCTGCAGGGTAGGGATGAGGGAGGGGGTTACTGGCAGCTCAGAGGTGAATCCATGAGGACCCCGGTTTGTGTGACCCATTACAAAGGGCAGGGGACAGCCCTGGGACCTAGACATCTCCGTTCTCCATGCTGCTCAGTTGCTGCTCCAGCTTGGCAATGCGCTCGCCCTGCTCTGCCACCACTACCCGTAGATTCTTCAGCTCCTGCAGCACCTCCTCCAGGCGCCCGCTGCCCTGCTGACACACACAGACAGATGCACCCTTGTCAGCCCATGCCCAGGGCCCAACCCCATGCCCAGACCCTGGTCCATTCCCTGCCACCTTTTCACCCTAACCCAACCCCTCGCCTGGCTCACTAGGCTCCACAAGCCTGCAAATCTTGACCCCTTCACCTCTAAGTCTCCTCCTCCCAGCACTCTGCCCCCTCCCGTCAACCCAGCACCCTGCTCCCTAGCCCCAACCTGGCCCCAGATTCATCCTCCACCACCCATGACCCCTCAGCCTCCACCACTCGCAGCCCAGCTCCCTGCCCCCTAACTCCTGCCCCCATGACCCCCTAGCTCTCAGATCCCTGCTGCTCCCTGGGGTGGTAGGCAGTATGTACCCCAGTGGCAGTGGGCATGGATGTGGTAAGGGCAGGTGGAGCACTGAGGCGGGCAGCACTGCCGGGGCGGGATGCAGGACGGCTCTCATGCAGCACGTTCTTCTTGTTGACCTTGAGGTCCCGCTGCTTGGTGGGCACGTAGGCCTCACGGAGCGAGATCAGCACTGGCCCTGCCGTGTTCCCAGCCACCCAGTCCTCGGCCTCTATGGCTGCCTCTGGCCCAGCTGTGTCCGGGTACAGATCATCCTGGAACAGGTCCGACTGTGCAGCATGGGTACAGACAGAAACAGCCAGCCAGCATTAGTCACATAGCCTCAGCCTATGAACCAACACCTCTATCCCATGGTCACCCCAAGGCAGGGCAGGCCCTAGCCACTGCTGTACTCCACAAAAATGCCAGGGATCTGGATCAGAAGGGGGTTGACAAAGGAACACAAGCTTCTTCCAAGAGCAGCTGGGGACCCAGGATAGGCCCCACATCAGAAACAGTGCCCAAAAACATGGCCTCTGTAGGTAGCCTCCTGCTCCCACCTCCACAGTCAGAGCATGTGGCACTACCACCACCTTCAAACCAGGGAGAGGCCCTTGCCTGTCACTCACCTTCCTTGGCACCGTCATGATGATGGGCTCACATTTGCGCTCATGAAGCTTGTAGAACCTGCAAAGTCCCGGGGGCAGTGAGATGTGAAGGCAGGGATTAGGGGTGATGGGGTCACAAGTGCCCCCACAGGGATCCCTGGACAGCCCCATCACACCCTCCAAACCACCCCTCACCTCTGCCCATCATCACTCCCTCCTGCAGGGCCTTCCCCCAACACAATCAGGATCGCTTCTTCCCACCCTTGTCTGAACCCACAGCCTGCCCCAAAGAAGGTGTTCCCACAGCACCCCCTTGGCAGGCCCCACCTGGCAATCTCACACTTATTGACATCCAGGCCACGCTTGGGCATCCAGCCCATGCCCCGCTGGGGCTCTTTGCTGGTGAACGTGTTCAGGAAGTGGATATAGGGAGGCTCCTCTGTGATCTCAAAGTACCGGATGCTGGAGTCCCCCTGTGCCAGGGCAGGGTGAGGTGTTAAAAATGGGGGGTAAGGGGTAACAACCCTGCCCCTCCCTATCCCTGACAAATCAGCCTCCATCTTTGCACTCAAGTTAGGTCCCAACAGTTTCCCTCTGCCACCTCTACCTTGCCGCAGACATAGACAACATTGGTGTCAGGGTCATAGAAAGGCAGCAGGGCTCCATTGCTTGAGTCCAGCTCTTGCTGTGTTATGGGTTCCTCCAAGTTATCCTGAGAAGGGGGGAAGAGCAGGTAGTGAGGAAGGGCACACCTCCAAGACCCTGCTCACTCAGGCCACATCCCCAGGGGACATGACCAGCCAGGCCATGTCCACTCCAGGTCCCACTTGCCCACCTGGGAACATGCCCATTCTAAGCCAGAAGAGCAATGTCCCAGCACCATGCCTTACAGTACGGAGGCAGGAAAGAGGACAGATTTCACTTACACAGCACGGCTACCTCCTCAGACACCTTCCAGGGTGCAGGGCACTAATGCCTGCAGGGATGCCTGGCTCTCTGAGCCACCCCCACAATGAGGTGTGCCAGCCCATGACATGGTGGGAGCAAACAGGAACACTCCTCCTCACCCCAGGGTCCCTCCCCCGAGTTGTCCTGCCCCCGCAGCTTACCGGGCCCCAGAGTGCCATCTGGCGCTCACTCATGCGGCTGAAGCCAGTGGTGAAGATCTTGCCATCAGCGAGGAAGATGGCACGCATGGGCCGGGCTCCCTCATGTGCCCGCTCCTTCTCCTGCAGGACAGACAGACAGACAATGAAGCGCCAGGGCAGACACACCACCCCTTCTTATCCCCTCAGCCCAGCCAGACCTGGAGCTGGCTCCCACCCTAACCCAGAGGCGTGTTTAAGAGATAGGGGTCTGGTATCACCCCTTCCCTTTGTCTAAACCTGAGGCTCAACCCCTGATACAGGGGTGGAGAGTCAAATTGACCCTCCCACCCCAGACAATGGAAGCTGCTAGCACCTAGAAACAGTCCCCAGGACTGGGTCGGGCCCCTCAACAGGCCCCTTGCCCACCCCCAGGCTCCTCTGGCCCTACCCCCCAGCATCTCCAGCTGAGGCAGAGCTGGCTGGAACAGTGGGAGGGGAAAGTAGGTGCCACTCCGTACCGCTACAACCAGCCCACGCCGGGGGTCAATGATGCGCACGGTCTTGTCCTTGCATGCCGAGCAAAAGAGGCTGCCATCCCGGTTCCAGCTGACATTGTAGATGAGGTCGGGGTGCAGGTCATCCAGGCGGTATAGCTCCTCAGCCGTGCCCACATTCCAGATGATTACCACATTGTCACAGCCTATGGACCAGCTATGTCACCCACTGCACAACAGGGCGCAGCCTCGCCACCATTAGGACTAGCCCCACCCACTCCCACAGACCAGATTCTCCCCCTCCATCTCCCGCCTTG